CACCCCTTAGCACACTTCTTGTAGGGGCCGATGTGTGACAGATGGTTTGTCCTTGCGAGAGTTTTCCCATCCGCAGGAACAATGGAACATCGCTACCCCGGCAGTCAAATGTGTCTTCTCCTGTGTTTGAGCAGCGAACTCTTTGACCCGAACCTTGCCCTACAACCATGGAAAAGACAGATAAAAGACTTGACGTGTTTGTCTTGGAAGTGTTTGCTGTAAGTAATTAGTAACTCTGTTGGCTAGGAATCAAACGGATGACATACTCCAGCTTTGCCTTGTCGCGGTGGCTGAACCGGCCACAAGGACATTGGAAGGCCTGGTGTCTTTCTATTTGTACAGGCTGCAAGGAATGATTTGATGTTTGGGATGGTGAAGAATGGGGACCTGTGGACGTCGGGTAATCGGAAGAGCAGTCTCGAAGTTGCAATTGTTCTTGCGGCTGAACATTGTTGTACCACTCCACACCCATCGCTTGGGTATTTACAGCGGGATTGGACATCCCCACTGACAATGCTGCCTCGCTCACGGAATTGAAAGATCCCTGTAGGAAATCGAGTTCCGTCGATGGCAAGCTTGTCGTCGGGGGTTCAGCGTTACCCAGCGGAGATGGTGAAGTGAGTGTAAATGAGGAATCCAGACTGTCTTGAGGTGATGACCCAGTCTCATTGGTAAAGGACTCGGAAGTGTCAGCCGTGATGATTGACGGAGAGCTGAGAGCTAATCCAGATTCTGAACCAACGTGGTGTGACGACGCATCGAAATCGATATCAGAATAGAGATCGAAATCGATATCGGATCCGAAATCGTATGTTGACCATGCCATGAACTGAGAGCTACCGATGTTGCCATGTGCTTGGTAAATGTCCTCCTGGAATGGAGCCCGCTGTGCGTCAAGGTCTTCTTGATGTGAGTTTGCAGAGTAGTTTTGGTGTTGAGAAAACGAATAAAGAGGATATTGTGAGTTAGGCTGTGAAGGGAAAGAATCAGAGAAATCCAGCGAAGGAGGGCATAATGTGCTGCCTGCAGTGCCAAAGCCTGTTGAAGGAGTGGAAGCTTGGTCTCCAAGCTCTTGGCTGGCCCCGGGAACAATTTGTTTTAGGTAATGATCATTTTGGCTCTCTGGAATATTTTAAGCCCCGAGCGTTCGGGGCAAAAGTATCCCTGAAAAGCCTATTCAGTAAGATGTGTTGTTTTGCGAACCAGATTGCGCGTACTCGATGTGTGAGCGCAAGGATTCGAAGGACTGATGTCGGCTTGATATGTCAGTCGTGTCGATTCGTTCAGGTTGGCTGCCTACAGTGTGTCAACTGTTTCGCAATTGACACACTGTGGCGGATGGAAGAGTTGGCTGTGTCCAAGAGACGTAGAGGTCAAAGGGCCTTGCAATGCGGCCCACTGGGCTTCCTCGCCCTCAGACTTTGAATGATGAAAAGAAAGAGTTGAGATCTCTGGAGAGAGGTCGGGGCCTGACCGGGGTTTTATGCCGGAGCATCATATATTACCCTCCCTCAGTTCTCACAAGTACTGCTAGCAGAGTACTTGGTACTTCGCCTCAAGTGGCTGTTCGTCTCTGTTGGGCCACCAATGAGAGAGAGTGCATAAGCCCCCCTGCTTCGCCCGATATCTCCACCCACCCATCTACATACGTTGCTATGCATTAGACTATGGCATGGGCCGCCAATGAGAGTAGTTTTAAGGTTGTGTTGGGTGTCAGATCTTCAGAACGAGCGCGGTGGACAGTATTGCTTTGGGCTGCCAGGCACATTTTTTTCGAGATCAAGGGGTCTTACCTGCAGCGTGGGCCACGAATGATGGCTCTTCCATTTAGGCTCGGTTTCAGGACGCAGCAGGCGCAGCATTTTGGGTCACCAATCAATTAACTTGGTAGTTAGAATATCCTAGGGCCACCAATGGGTTGCTTTGGACGCGTGACCTTCAATACGTCACCACCTACTCAGCGACAGCTGCGATCCAGGTCAACCGCTGCACTTGAATGGGCCACCAATGGTTCAAGATTTAGCATGCAGACCGAGCAGATTACGGTGTCTGTTGGAGGGTATGGAGGACTCGTGTGTAGTCAGAGGCCTCAGGGTAAATTTGCTATAAACGGCCGTCATTGTCGTTAGGATTGAATCACAGAAATCTTCAAGTAGGATTCCGTCTTTCGTGTAATCAGAATCACGTCTATACAGTTATCGACATGTCTTCTCAAATTTCAACAGACCCGCATAGTGGTCAGCAGCAGCTTCACACGCAGAGCCCCAGAGCTCATGCATCAACAGAACCCAAAATAATCGCGGAAGACCCTAAAAAGGCGGTATGTTGCCCAAATCCCTATCTGAAGAATGATGACAAGCTAAAACGGCGAGTGTGTAAAACAGGCCGGGGAGAGCGATCAATCTTCCCTCACGCCCATGGAGCGCTACATTCGCCAGACACCTAATGAGGAGCCATGGAATCAAGTCTGGGCTGGAATGCGCGACAATAGCAAATGACCCAGAGAACACAGAGGATCACTTAGAAAGAAGTCAACTTTTGATTGGTTTGAGCATGGTCATAGGAAGGACGGGATTCGAGTGACCCTGGATCTAGGCCTCCTGTAGACGTGCTATTACATGTTGGTACTTTCAATATGCACGTGAGCGAAGTTAGAAATAGCTTTCAGCTATGCATTACAATTAAGTCATCATTTATCGTCTTCTTATCACGGAAATTGATTATGTGGGAGCTCTTCTTCAAATTTGGCAATTGAGTGTTTAGGAATGAGGCTCAATTTTCAAGAACCTCGAGTAGCGGAAAACACGTTTCAAATCTGGACTCTGGATAAAAATTATAAGATTTTTGGGAATTTATAAACTAAAACCGTTGGGACAACAATATTTCCTATCAGCTGTTACACTCTGGAGAAGTGTACAAATGGACATCGGGAGGGATAACTTCGCCGGAACAAGTCGATAGCACGCGCGCCAGAGTTCGTTAATCTCGAAATCCCTTGCTGGGGTAGGCAGTTTTGTTATGATAAAATTGCCTCATACCCCTATTGCTTGTAAGGACTCCAAAGAAGCCCACCCGCATCCCAACGATCCTTGAGGTTGCGGAGCTGGGTCAATCTCTCCTTACTAAATAGTTCCTCCAAGTTCATCCCAAATCGGAGATTGTTTGGGAAACTTCTTGGCACTGACTCCGGATCGCCTTCTCTGAAAATTTTCATCAGATTGTCCATGTATTCCACCAGAGCCACCCTCGTGTTATCCTCTGAGCACATCGTCACGGTCATGACCGAGAAATCCCTTTCCCTTCCTTCCACAAACCTGCCAGCGGCTCCCGAATTGCCAAGCTCGGCAGCTTTCGTGCTGTCAGACAGCCCGACAACCAAGATACTCCTCCGGCTATCTGGATACTTCTCAGTCACGGACACCCACTGCTCAAAAGCATTTTTGAGAGATGAGATGTCCATATTATTCAGCCGGCAGGAAGCGATAGCTTTGTGTCCACCACGAGAATCATGTGGCGTGTAACGATCGTTAAGGTTTACTATCGGTGTTGTCTCGGTGCTCTTTACGATTGCTTTTCCGACAAGGTCGTCGCCGAACAGAATAGAAGCATTTACCTCTCCTTGCTCAGAGGATGCGAAGACGGTGGCACCCAAGACTATGATTGGCGATCCAGCTGCTGGAGTTCCAGGTGGACTGCGCATGAACAGCATATTGATGCTTGTGGAGGATGCAGGTCGCTGCATCTTCAGAAAAGCTTCAGCCGCACTTTCAATCGCTGTGGGTGGAAACACGAGCGAACGCATCCAAACTTTGTCGTCCGTCAATTTCAGGTCCTTGATAGGGAAGGCTGATGTCTTCACGGCCGTTATAACGCCCAGGCCGTGACCTGCGCCGCAGAGTGCATTGAAAAGATCCAGATCCTCTCCCGTGGATGAGGAGCTGACCTCAATCATCTTCCCCTCTGCGGTTGCAAGGCGGAAAGACTCAACCAAATCGGCCATCCACCCGTGAGTTCCAACGAGAGGCGTATTCCCGCCGCCAATGATACATCCTACCACACCAACAGCGTTGGAGTTCGGAAGAGGAGTGTAATAGCCTTGGTCTGCCAAAGCCTTTGAGAGCTCTCCTGTCGTTACCCCACCACCGACCTCAACTATTCCAGTACCTTTGTCCAGCTTGATTGCCTTGAAGTTCACCAAGTCCAAGTAGAGAGCTTTGGACCCGATGGAGACAAAGGTTCCGTGACCTCCACCGCCGACTATGATAGTTAAACCATTGCTTTTAGCAACGCTGATCGATGTTTGCACATCCTCCTCCGTTACCGGTCTTACAATCAGGCTCGGCTGGTCGATATTGGTGTCTGACCAGCGCACGACCCCGGTGAGAGGCGTGCCGGGATCAGGCACGACGAATTCGCATTTGATCGAGTCAAGTCCAGATAGTGTGGGCGTCATGTTGTGGGTTATGTTGATGAATCTCTGGAATAAATCGAATCGAAGATGATATCCTCCAAGTGCGAGATGACACGTTTTATAAAGAATTGATGGTGGTCCGAGATACCCGAGCGTAAGCACTTGTGAGGTTGTTGCTAGGGACCCTGGAGGGAGGATTCTCGGCTTATGACGGTGTGCTTGACCTTGGGATCGTGTAGTCGCCTGTTTTTGCATGCTATTTGCCGATATTGCAGTAATAAAGAATCTATTTTCTGATCAGTAGATGTTTATCTAGTAGGCAAGGTATTCGATCGATAGAATGCGATCAAACGGGAGCATTGATTTGTGTTGCCCATGTCAAAGTCAAAATGTTGCCCCTCTTTCACTAGCGTGTTGCAAGTTATGTCCACTATAAAGAGCTTCGTTTATTCCGTGTGAGGTAAGTCTAAACTCGTCTAATTGCCGGAGCGATTCTAAAAGCTTGGGGCCCCTTCGGATCAACAACCGTCTGTGCTGGATATACTGGCTTGGACTCCTTAGTTCTACCGACCTGGTAGCTTTTATTTGCTTATACTTCTCTTTGAGTCACGGCGACTGTTTTATTCGCACTTCCCTCCGATGCTTCTTCGGTTTCTTCAGACTCATCATCCTCGGTGACCACTTTCGCCGAGCGGGTATGCTGCAAGTAAGCCAGTCCTAGCGATGTCAAAGAGTGAAGAATAGCGAACCCTGCAGATCCATAGTTTCCGGCCACCACTGCCGGTTGGTCAACAGTCTGGAATATAGCCAGAGGTATGACGGCATGCGAGAGGGAAGCCCAAACATTCAAACCAGCGGATGCAAACGCCCTGGTTGCAGGGTCTCCGACCAAAGTGTCCTGAGTCCAGGCCCAGAACATTGAGTTACTGGCCTGACAAAATCCCGTGAGATAGTACAGGAACCATCTTCCAGCGCGGTTCTTGGGGAATACGGACGTGCTCGCAAGCGTCAGGTCGACAATAGCAGCCGCGGTACTGCCGACGACGAGCATAGGCCATCGGCGACCACGGAGCCAGGTATCGCTTGACCACGCCATCAAAAGAGTGACCACAACAGTCACACCCTGAATTGGTGTTGTATAGTTGTCTGGCAGATGAGGTCAGCAAGCCGAAGAGAAGAATCAGGACTTCGAAGAAAGCGTACTGATTTGAGGGACAGTATATGATCCAGGTTTAATCTTGTTCCATTCCTTAAGCCAAAAAGCCATGGAATTCATAGGCTGGTCTACGACCGCGTTCGCACTACTAGTGTTAGTGTCTCGTCATCAGGGTGGGCCAATTAACATACAAAGAAATAATCCAAAGCAACCACTATAACTATGTTAGCATATCTCAGCTGAAGTAAGTTCATGCAGTGGAACTAACAATGTCAAGAGTTAAGAACCATCTCTTGACTTGCGCCAAGGTAAAGGCACCTTGCTTTACTCTGCCTTCTTTGGGGTTTCTATTTCGAGCCAGCTCGATTTCCTGGTACAAGTCAGCGATGGGAGAGTTTCTTATTCTTTTGGGGTACATCATACCCGCTCGGTGAAGACTAGATCCGGCTTCTGTCGCGCTGGCACGTCAGGGTAGAAGAGGAACTGCGGTATGATGATGCCGAGTGAAATCACACCTGGAACAAAAATTAACATCAGATCATGGTGGGCAGAAACACTTCTACACGAACCATCAATTATGAACAACCACTGCCACCCAGCTTTGCCATGGACACCATTCAATCCAGTATAGGCCGCAGCTTGGAGGTAGCTTGAGAACATAGGTCCGATGGCAGTTGTGATGTTGATGATTGCTAAACGACGGGCCAACTCTCGTTTTTGGTACCATGCGCCACAGAGATAGACCACAGCGGAGTAATGGCCAGTCTCGAAGATGGCGAGAATAGCTCGAAGGGCATACATGTGGCTGGGCTTTGTCATAACGGCCTGAAGAAACGTAACGACGGTCCAACCTAGCTCAAGGAAGGGAATAAACCATCGTGGATTCACTCGCGTCAATATGAGGTTGCTAGGCCAAAGGGCGATAATCTGACTGTCGAGTCAATATTGTGATCGAAGCGATAGAACGAGGGATGCATGTATCCTACATTCGCAATAGAATAAGCAGTATTGGCGTAATTAAGTTCCTATTCCAGTGTAAGCCACGGTCATTGATAAAGCTTCGAATTCACTCACGTTTCCGTATAAAGACAAGTCTTCTTTCATACCACTCACGAATGCGCTCTGTAAGTTGGACCTACTCGGGTGAGTTTACATTCTGTTCAGAGATTTGTGCCTCGTAACTGACTTGTCAAGATACTTGATGAATGTCCCCAGGCAACCAAATGTCATGAGTGTCAAATCCATCTTGAGCACAAGTTTCCGCTCCTTTTTGTTTACACCATTTTAGTCTCGGTCAATTCTATTGCACTGTCATTATGACACTTACCTCTGGAGTTCGATCCCAAGAGTCCCAGATGTAACCTCTCCACGTGCTCTTTTGTTTCGAAACGGGCTCATTTTCGGGCAGAGCTGCGGGGGCTTGCGACCCTTCCCCTGGATGAGTTGAGATGATGGGTTCCGATACGGCCATGTTGGATAAATGTTTTGCCAGACAAAGCCCAGTACTGGATAAACTAGTTATCCGACTCTCTAGACCGTTCATGCATCATTATATGCTTATCATCGCTGGTGGGTACTTAACCCCGGCCAGCCAGCTCGTCATCTTAGCATATAGCACGCTTTCGCAGGTTTAGCCAATCCTACGAATGGTATGAGCTGCATCAGGCGTGATGTGTTCTCTGTTGCCGGGAATAGAATTCTCAATGCTACGCCCGTGGGATTGCAAGGGTTTGGATAAGTTCTTACTCTTCATATCAGTTGAGGATGCGCTTTTCGCTAAAAGACTTAGCCGAAGTTGAGGTCACGTCAAATAAAGAGCTATGGCGTGACTGATTATCTCCATAATAGGGCTGTGGGCGATCAAAATCCCAACGGCCGTTCCTATATTCACTCTCTAATCGCCCTAGTGATGAAGCTTACTGAGGTCGCTATTCTAAAGTCTTGCCCATTGGTATCGATTCTTTCGGACCAGAGAATTAACAATAGCGGCTATTGCAATATATCTAGTTTCTGACTCGTATATCGAGACATCTGGAATTCCTGATCAACGCAAGGCTCATTAATAATCATTCCCTCTTGTACTTAAAGCCAAGTATGGTCCTCCATTCCACGGCTTAACCAAATGCTACTGCCCGTATAGAGGCGCGTTCAAGTTCAAATTATCGCCGCAAGTCTAGCCTCATTGTAAACATTCATTGCGCCCGTTCTAAGCTTGGTTGGAAAACTGCTCGCTTTATCGGAGCTCATGGGATGGCAACGAACACTTTGTCTATTTTTAGATAAACTTTCCAATGCTATAACTACCCTAGTCGCATATTCTTTCCTAAAGAACATTCGTTTATATTATTCTCTAAACTATGTGAACCCCTGATTTCCGTTCCTCAAAGTAAGAAATACCTTCCTTTATCACGTCTCCATCCGTCACCTGATTTCATATGAATCAACACGTACAAGCTTGGTTCGTACGGACCCCTCCTCCTTCGACTTTGCCAAGGGACTCAATGGCGTCCCAGGATAGGGACTGAGAGGTGTCTCTGGCTCTGGCTGGTAATCTGGGATAGCATCGCGGTCCAACATGGCCATGAAGTATTCCGACTTGCGTTCGCCGATGTGGCCGAACTTCAAGACCAAACTGCCATCCGTCTCTGCCCACTTCTCTGACGACAGACCCGGATTACTGCGCTCCGGGGAGAGTAGGGCTGTGGCCAGACGACCTGTAGACGTCTGATTGTCCATCTCGCGTATAGTGGTTACGATCCCACCGCGTGTCATCACGACAATCGTTAGGGCCCATACTAACACCACGAACAGCAGAACGAGTGTTATGATACCTGGGATAGCATAGCGGAGATCGTAATGGATAACGCGGCTGGAGGCAACGACTGGAGCGTGCGGAAATCCCATGAGCGGATCATTAACACTGAGTCTGGCGGGATAGGCTATAGGAGTGTTTCGAATGGCCGTTTTGGTACCAACAATGGTCGAGGCGAGAGCATCGGTGATCATGAGACTGGGGATGTTTGATGCCAGCGTGTCGTTGACGGACAGTTTGACAAACCGCTCAACTAACGAGTACGAGTTGCCCTCCGTGTATGACTCCCTGTTGGCCAGCGTATTGTATGCGTTGTACAGCTCGAAGATCGGCGCTTGGATAGCTGCCAGGGAGTCCCATCCATCACGGGCGCCCAGATCCCTCGCGGCGTTGCCACTTCCCACCGGGAGCCACAGCTGTTCTGAGCGCATCGTGGAGAATCCCGGGGTGTGCTCGTATTTATCATCCACCAAGCCCCAGAGGGGATCGTATGTCATTCTTTCAGGCGCGCTGGCCTCCACAGCCCACAGAGGCTTGGAGTGCTCGTCGGGATATACCTTGTCCGATATGCCCGTGACCTTTAGGTTTGGCAGTCTCCCGTCTGTCCCATTATACAGGAAGTCAACGGATTTGATGCTGGCCTTCATCGCACTTGCGCAGATGTACATGTTCCTGTGATAGGTCTGAAGCCCATTCATAGATTGCTTGGCTATCCCACCTTCCGATTCCGAGCCCGAGCGGCCAGCACCGAGGAGAAAGCCGCATGAGACAGCTGCGTTGGTGACATTAGAAGCCCTTCGATCAATGTCCGTGTTATCTATATGCCAAAATCCTCGACATATTTGTTCTTTTCACTGTTAGTGGGACGTCTCGAATGCATGTGCACTTGAGTTGAAAATATACACATACCTATCGCGGTGAAGTTGGAAGCAAAAAGCTTCTTGTAGCCGTCAGGGTATCTGCTGGTGAAATTTCGGGGAACAGAGATATTCTGAGCTGTCATTTTATAGCGGTAGAGGTCGGCGATGGTCTTGATTTCGTGTATTTGAATATTCTCTGGCTTGAGGCCGCCGAAGAGGGTAAGATCGCCCCAGAGCGTAGCATTTTGACTCAAGCTCGTAGTAACACTAATCTCGGGCAGAGTGTCATTTCCGGGACCCAGAGGAAGTGAAATGTTCAAGATGTCGGCTGTGAACACGTTGAACATTCTGGCAGCCTTGTGGGCACGGCCGAACAGGTCGAGTGATTGGTTGTCAATCCAAGGCCGCGTCTCAAGTTCACCAAGATCGAGGTTGCGGAATGCCCCATGATCAACAAGATAGACTTTTGTCTCTGACCCAAAACTGTCGGCGGTGTCATTGATCCTGATCTCAATGGTCAGGTTGGTATCGGCGCAACGTGTCACTGGCTCGAACCAGGTGAGATCCTCGCTCCAGGTTCCGCCTTGCCTGAGACCAATAGGAATAGTATGATTTCGCAACCCGAGGCCAGGGTTATTCCTCGTGTCGATAATGAGTCCCTCTCTGATTGTAATATCGTCTTGAGGAATAAGGTTCTCGACGAAACGTTGGGCGCCCTGGATCCGAGGCTCGCCATGATCAATAAGATCAACGTATGCTGTCTTCCAACGACGATACTGGATATCAAAAAGGCCAGATACGGTGTCTCCAGCTCCATCAGTTGCACTAGAAAACATGGTCGTGAAATTGGCAGGAATTTGGGTGTCGATTATTGAGTCTTCGTTTTGTTTAACGCTCCTCAGTGTGCCGTTGGGGAATTCTTTAAAATCGACGCCATGATACTGCCCGGGGCAGTTGAGCCTCCTTCCGATTTCGCAGTATCGCCCAAACCTGGCATCCGGACGGTCCATTGTAACTCTCCCCCACACGGAGTCGTCCTGCGCGTACTGGAAGTTGACTGGCGTGGCCGAGTCATCGGGGCCTACAAGCTCGCTTAGTCCAAGGGGTGTAAGAACACCAGCAAGCACCAACAGCAGAGCGCCTGTCGTGATGGTCCAGAGGAGCGCTATGACGGAGGTAGAGCGGTTCCGAGCGCCGATGGAATCAGTCTGTAGGACCAGGGGCCATATCGTGTTCGAGATCGCTCGGTTGACGGACGACCTGTGGAGAAGACAGCGATCAGTTGCCATTCAAAGAGTTCAGCTGTCAGTACTAGTGGGGGCGATTACCATGTTGCAGCTGTAGTTTCGTTGCCAATGACCTTGACGAGAATGATGACCAACGCGAGGGGGAGCGAATACTGGACTGGTTCAGGAGTAATTGGTTAGTTACAGCCGAGCTGAAAGTTCAGAGTCCACACATACCGATCATCACCCCGCCGGCAATCAGGCCGGAAGCTTGAGCGATGGTCAACATCTTTAATTAAATGCCGGCGCTCGCTTTTGCACGCTAAAGTGGCGCATGCGCGATGTTGTTGGCGGCGAGGAGAAGCGAATGGCTAGATGAGGGGGAGTTTGCAATTATAGACCGTATAGATCGTAAAATCCATCCAACCCACAGGGTCACATTAGCCTTACGACCAGGTATCCATGTCGAATTTCTCGCTAAGCCATGATCCTGATTGCATGTCGGCTTCTGATTTGCGAGACACTGCCAAGCCATGCCAAGCCGTAGCATCAGAGGAGGAGAATGTGGGAACAAGGTTAAAGCAAGAGGGGCGTGAGGCTGAACTTGATCCGCTGAGTGCCTAGTCCAGGCCTCCAATGCTTTATTCCTGTATCGGAAGGTGAGCCATCGGTTTAAATGCCAAAGAAGAAAGCTGCTCGCCCAAGCAAAGAAGGGCATAGAAGAGCAAAAGGGAGAGAAGGGCAGAATCAGAACCCAGCTAAAGTAATATCTTTGGCCGATCCGCATGGCTATACACCAGGAGACTTCTGGTAAACATGAGACTCTAGTCACCAAGCAGACAAACAGCCTATATTAGTTACTGTTGTCCGTTGTCGATCATCAACACCGGCCCCGCGCTCCCAACACCCACGGACATCCTCCTGAAGCTTGACTCACTACCAGATATCTCTTCATTGAACCATCCTGTCTAACATGACATGAAGGTATATTGAGTTAGTTACGGAATTACCCAGCTAAGGTGGATGACAGCGACGTGCTAGATCTGCTGGTAGCCATATTTACAGTGATAACTACTGTTGGCTATAGAAAAAATGTCACGCAATATATCTCTAGATTATTATAGGTAACGCTACCCATAATAATTACAGTGAGGGATAATAAAGAAAGTATCATTATAACACTTAATGAGAATAAATGTCTCTGCGAAGTTCACTGTGAAATAGGCTCGCATGAGCATCTAACGAAAGGAAGACTACTAGAAATCAATTCCTACGTGATCATAACTCATCTAAGCATTAAAATCAATGACACACCTACCAGATACCTGGCCTGCTCTCAGGAGCTCGACAGCCTCAGGTAGCCGGTCAATGCCAAAGACTTCATACGCAGGCTTCAAGAGCCCCCGTGCAGCAAAGGCCAACGCATCATTAGTATCTTTCATCGTCCCAGTGAGTGTTCCAATGACCTTGATGTTACGGAGAATCAGAAACATAGGATCATCACCCGCAAACGCCGTCCCAGTAGCTGGCATCCCAACACACATCACCCTACCCCCAACGCTCAATAACTTCGGTGCGACAGCATAAGCGCTCTTGGATGTTGCCGTGACGAAGACACCGTCAACACCTCGACCGCCAGAAATGCGCATCGTCTCTTTCACAATATCCGTGTCAACAAAGTCAATGAAGGCATCGCAGCCTAGCTGCATGCAGAGCTCTCGCTTGGCCTTGCCAGTATCGATACCAAGGACCCGAAGGCCCATGGCTTTCGCAAGCTGGACACCCATGTGGCCAACGCCGCCACCAGCTCCAAGAAATGTAGCCCAGTCTCCTGGACGCAGCTCCGAGTCCACAAGCTAACAATCATTAGAATCTCCAATTTACGAGACTGACCCGGGCACTTACAGATCGATACATGGTCGATCCGCTACACATAATGGGGCCCGCACTGAAATCGTCTACTCCATCCGGGATTCGACTGGTGTACCTCGCCGGGCTGACGATGTACTGCTGATATGTTCCTAAATCTCAGTTAGCGTTCATCGACAAATCTTGGAGACTCGGGCAGTGTACCTGGGACCTTGAGCCCTGTAGGGATAGCCTCGGGGCAATGGCACTCCAGCCTGCCCCAACAAAGCTCGCAGGACATGCACGTATCCCAGGTCGGTTTGATACCTGCTCGATCACCTATTTTCCAATTCTTCACTTGCTCTCCTATCTTGACCACGACACCTGCTCCCTCGTGGCCGGGAGACCTGACTCCATGCTCCGACATTCGAGGGAGTGTTAGATCTTCCAGCATGTAGTGAATGTCACTATAGCATACGCCTGTTGCATTGAGTCTGATTAAGAGTTGGCCAGGCCCTACGATTGTCAGTCCCGCTCCGTTTTGCGTCTCGATGCATTGGATCCGAGGGTCTTACCAGGCTCAGGAACCGGAACATCTTGAACTTCTAATTTGAAATTCGCCCCATATTCGACCACCACCCCTGCCTTGCAGGTTGTGGGAAGTAGCTCAAGAGAACTCATCTAACCTGAATGATTCGTAGAGTCAATAGCTTGTGTGTCACATAATTCAAGACACAAGTAATACATGTGGATTTATAGTCGTCCTCCAACAGGACAGACCAATACTCAAAGCGGAAACGCCAGCCGCCGGGAGATGTTGAAGCTCCGGTGGACTCCAACGCCACCGGGGGGCACAACCACTTATGGCGTGAAGCCCCTGTACTCAGGATGACAACATATCACAGAGCTATATATAGGGTCCTTGCAACGAGTTAGGCTAAGGATTTCCTTTTGCCTAGTTGGCCTAATCTGCGACACAACAGCTCCTTGGAATCCGGGGCAATGGAGCTTTCGTGGAGCCTTATCCCGAGGCCCCGCGATTGGACAACAACACGATAGCAGAAACATACTGCACGAGTAATATTACCAGGAAACGACTATAAAAGCATAGTCCCCCACTACCATACACATCCGACTATCTCTATCTATTATGAGAAGTCCTAGACCAGCGGTTTCTCCCAACATTCACTGCTAGCAAGTAAACAAATCTTAGCAGATTCAAATCTTTCTGGCTTGAAGTGATCGCTCTGGAATGTCTTCAATAAGTCAGTTTTTGGTGTCAACAGAACCTTCCCAAATATGTTCCGCTGAGGAAAGAATAAATGCAGCCTACATATGAGTTTATGTTAGGTCAGCCTGCCTCAAAGAGTTGAATATCTTTTCATAATGCTGACAGATCGCCTCATTCAGCACTGCCTCAAGGCAGACAGTCTTACTCTAGGCTTGCATACACAAGTTATATTTAAGCATTTTGCTACAGTATAGCTAGAGTTGCAACCCTAACTGCTACTTTCTGTTTGTCGTACATTGCAAGTTGGTATCTTTTTAATTCCCCAAGCATATTTCAACTCAACCATTCGAGCTTAATTCGCATTTATGCAGCCTATATTTACTCTCAATTATCCTTCTATAGTCTCAACGGCTCCCTTATAATGTATTATCACCAAATCTAGGACGTTTTTGATCCTCCAATTTCCCCACTAATAAATACAACTAGCACGGCCGCGTATCTAGGAGAGAATATTAGCATATGATCTGTAAGCCCAAAGTGACTTACTTACGCGGCTGTGGCTCCAAAAATTTCTGCAACTCTTGCGTTTGTCAGAAGCCCAACACTCCCAGCAAACAGAACAGTAAAGAGACCAACAAGGCCTAACTTTAGATCTGGAGAAGGAACCTTGTACAAAACTATGATTGCTCCTATTAGAAGCAAGGCCGCAAGGACGGTGCTGAGATACAAAACAAAGGTTTCGATTCTAGACTCCGAGGCATAACCAAGCCCCGAGATGTTTGGCCGTCCCTTGGGCAACTTTTTCTGTATGAAAGGGCTCATATCAGCAAAGACTATTCTCCAATTCTTGACAGCTCTATGTAGATTCCAAACTCAAACTCATCGTACTCACTACAAATATAAATCCTAGGAAATTTCGAAGAAATGTAGAGAGGCGATCGCTTCGCACTGGAGGGCGGAGAATCATCAGATCATCAATGTCGTCATATAAACTGGAACTCTTTCCTCCCAAAATTGGAAAACTATCTTCAGCTCTAGGCGGTCCATGGTAAAAGCCTAGACAGAACGCTTTCAGCATTCTTCGATCAGGCGTCGGTTGAGATGCCAGAACGCTCTCATAACTCAGTAACCTTTCTATAGTTCGTTAGTCACCACGCAAAAACGTCTCTCACTTTTCACTTACTGTACTCTATTATAGTTTTTTGTATGTCTTCAAGAAGCTTAGCTCTCTGTGGATAAACCTGCCACTTTTCTTTGTAAGTTGTCCAATTTCTAGCACATGGCGAACCCCTATCCTCCTCATCGAACGCATCAAGCTGGGCTTGTAGCTCGGCCATTCCGGTTTCCAAACACAACAAGGTTCGCGCAGTCAAACGATCAAAGCGCTTGAATATCAGTGCCGTCCGGTCTAGGTCGCTTGCCATGAAGGCAGCCAACGAAGGGTACCCATCTGGATATTCCCTGTCAGGCATTGTATATGGTTGAGTGTCGTAGAAGAACCACAAATGATCCCGAACAACGTGGGAGGTTGATGCGTTTTCGAGCATGCAATCTTGCGGGGTAAAGAGTCGCAGCTGATAATCACGCGGCGGGCAAAGATGCCTTGTGGTCCGCCTGGGCAGTACTGCATCATCATCTGACTATGCCTTGCATCAGCTCTTCTTCAACCTTGGATTCTCCGCGTACATCTACAATGGCTCCAACAAAACAATCATTTCAGTAGCCCTTTAACAACAAGCGGATCATTAGCCAGGCCATATCGCCGTCATTCGAAGCTTCGATCATGGCACTGCGCCCTGGTATTGATGAGTCGATGATCTTCTACTCAAAAGAGGGGCACGATCCTTCCTCGCCACAGTTGAAGCCAGTCATCCCCAATCTAGAACCGGGAACAGACTCCGTCAGATTGCTATCTGATCCTTGCCTAGAACCAGATGAAGAGAACATTGTGAGTAGTAACAGGAGGAAACACCCAGATCAGTCCAGCAAAAATTGAAATTCTAATGTCGTGCCCAGTCCGAGCCGTGGGACGTAGCCCTCAGATTCAGGCCAGAGCCGGCAGAAACATGGTCTCCTCAATTCGAAGAATCGATCGAAGATTCATGTTTCAGTTCCCATGTTAAAAAACAAGCAGCGAGTTGGAAGGATGGGCTGCTGCTCGCGCATATGGCTACCGATCATGGATACGATGCTGTCGCGGAGGGTCGTCGATATCACTTGCCTAGCAATGAAGACAGCACATTAAATCTGCGGATTGATTTTTTCAATACATAGCTATCAATTCCTAAATCCATTAGAAACCCGAGTTCCAGCCTTCGATCAAAAGTTGGGATTGACTTCCTTCCACAGATGAGCAAAGCAGCTGACGGTTTCACCCTAGTCCAAAGCGAGCTCGAACAGATCATTCCAAGTCATCAGCAATTGAGACTATAGACACAACTGTGCAACCCAGAACACTTCCCAGAGAAACTGGCTCTCGACGTCGAAAAGTCTTACCTATGATGTTTGAGACAGGTCCCGATACTGGCTCCGATGTCAACATTATATCTTTGAAAACGGCCCGGCTTTTAGGCTTCAAGCCAGATATTCGAAAGCCCGAAGAAGTCGGTTTTCGTCTTGCCAATAATGAGCTTATAAAAGCTATCGGTCAGGTCGATATCGCCTGCTCTTTTGGAGTTGGGACGCCGTGGCATGACTTGAGGCTAAATTGCATCTTTCACATTTTCAACACTCTGTCCGTTCCTTTGATTATGGGCATGCAGTTCCTTGAAATGACAGAGACTTACTCTAAGCATCAGAACCGTCTAGTTGAAGAGACGGTTCCACACATGCACTCTTTGCAGGTCAACTCCGTTGGGAGGCCAAGAAAGAGTTTAATATGCCGACTAGGTGCATATGTTAGCTTGGCGACCGCAGATACTGGCTCTGATATAGACCTTATCAGTGCGGACTATGCAAGGAAAAGAGGGTTTCCAATTGATGAAGCTTCCCACGACATAATGCTCGCTGACGGTACAGTGGAGCAAACTTGTGGTTTGATACGAAGCTCGTTCACGGTTGGATTGGTTGATGATGTGCGAGGATTCGTTTCAAAAAGCCAAAGTATTAGTGTCGATTTCTTCGTGTTGTCAAATCTATCATCAGATGTGTTGATTGGGCAGGACACTATTGAGCAGCTCAATATATTTGCTAACCACTCTGAATCCTTTATTCCCAGCATACCTCTAACAGGGGAATCCGACATTAATATTATTCGCTACATCGGCAAACTAGAGCGAGCTGGTAAAAGACTATGGGCTACAATACGAGGCAATGATCGATCCAGAGACCCCATTTCAGGTAAAGATAGCTTTCTGGCACAAAAATTCTCATACTAACAAGCGTGGTGGCAGACGTGGAGCGCAAATGGGAACTTGATGATCAACGAGAGAATGCCCGTCGAGAAATTCGCCATGCAGAGATAGCCCAAATGTCGCAGGAGGATAGAGAAGTTGCAGAAATCGTGGAGGCCGCCAGAATTTGGAACTATGAGGCCACGAAGAGGGCACAGAAGGAGCTAGAGTCAAAGTAAGTTGGCTACTTGGCCACGTCAAGGTCCGCTCATTAGTATCTGGGCTCAGTTGAAGGAAGTGCTGGCCTACAATAGCCAATTTTGGCGAAAGGTCCGTAGATTTTCAGAAATACATCATATACGCCCTAATATCTAAATAATTGGTGATCCAGCCCCCCGTGTATCGACCACATAGAGTCTTCTTCCGAGACACACAGTACAGCATCCGCCTCAGGAGCATCCACCACAGGACATCAATACGCGTGTACAGCGGCTGTGCTGTACCACCATTTCAACTTCAATATCGTCTAAACGAGTAAGCGTCTCGTACACTCTGTTAGACTACCTTCTGATCACCGCCAACACCCTCCCTGACTTGACGCCGTAAGTTCCAGCCACTATTCCTTGAGTTAAAATAGCTTCTAACGTGAATACAAGATATGTTCCCATTCTCGCCAAGACTGCCAAAGTCTTCCCACTGACCATCAGCCAAGGTATCGTGTTCCCCAGCCTGCCCCTCGTTTTACAGGGCATCAGCGTTGTAGGATCTCCTCTCGCGCCTGTCGGATCTCAGCGACAAATGCTCGAGTTTGCCGCCCTTCATGGCATTAAACCACAGATTGAAAAGTTCCCTTTGACTCAGACTGGACAGACTGGAATTACCAATGCTATGCAGAGGCTCAGGGACGGAAAGATGCGATACCGTGGCGTCGTGGTCGTGCCATAGACACTGGGAATTAACATGTAGCGATAGAAAGCCTACCTATTTATTATCATCAAGGCATCATCATACGTGAGAATTGTCTAATTGCAACGCCTTCCTGCCCAAGGACTGTCTGCCTGCCTATAACACGCGTACATCCGGAGACAAAGATCTCCTGACCTGTTCGGCGCAATTGCACCGCTCCACCACCAAAAAGTCGCCGTAAGATCCGGACATCATCGGCAATTAAGGCAGCCAACAGACATCCAAGCATATAATACGATTCACGAGCCGCTCTATTCGCCCATCCGAAGATTATTTCATTTCAAACAAATAGCTTACTACTAGTCATACATTCATCCATCGATCCACCAGCATCATGGCCATCCTCAACACCATCCAAACCCTCATCTGCTCCGCCCCCGTCCACCTCGTCTGCTTCTTCGCCCTCCTCGGCACAGAACTTCACCAATCCCTCATCACAGCCAAGAAATACTTCCACGCCCTACGAAGAAACCAGTCACTTACCTCCCACGAACGAGTCTCCCCCGTCCTCCTCCGCACCCAGTCCATCCTCCTCATTCTCGTCGCCGTCACCGTGCCCCCTCATGGCCTCCTCTCACTCATCGAGCACAAGTCCAGCTGGATCCCGCTGCTGGTCGGTTCATACGCCACGGCCCTCAACGTCTTTCTGTTCCATCCTCGCGCGTCCAGGGCTTTGAGCGATCTCCAGCTGCAGAGTAAGCCATTCCATCTCCGATTAGGTGATTTCATAATCTAACAAGATCAGGTATCGCAAACACTTCAGGAAAAGCCAGCGAGACAGAGCCGCTCAACCCAAACGTCGCTGTCTTGGAGAAGAGCTTCCGTAGGAATCGCGCTGCGACCGTGCACTTGAACATCGTCACCGTCATGGCTACGATTTGGTACGGCTGCGGGTTGGCCAAGTCATTCACCGCATGAGACACTTAGGCATGGATTAATTCATTGGTTACGCAACAAAGGCGTGAGGGATCTAGATTTCATTCTTCTCGCTAGAATAGATTGATTATTATGAAGACATGAATTATAAGCCCATTCATCATTCATCAGTATTACAATAACAGCCGTGGCTGTGCAAACGGCGCCTCCTCCACATTAACAGTCACCTTCCCGGACGCATGCAGCGTCGCTCCCCGGTCACTGATGGGCGTAGACTTGCGCGTGTGCGCAACCTCCTGCCTGCTCACCCTCGCCTCGTCTCTCGGGATCCAGAGCACAGGTTTGGGAGTCCACATCTCCGGCGGCAGGTACGTGTACCGCCTATCTCCGCTCATGTCGTCCAGCGAGGCCGGCAGGTCCATGAGGTCCTTGCGGATGGCGATGAAGTCGTCGTGGATATGTGGGCTGAACCAACGGACGACTGCGCTGGGACGCGTCTCTTCCTTGGTCGGGGGCTTAACGCCAAGCCACTCCAGCTGCTCCTTGGCAGCCTTCTTCGTCCAGTCCTTGAACAAGCCCTTGAAGGCGTCCCGGAAGTCGCTCGAACCTTCCGTCCCCAAGCCCCTCTGCGTCACAGGCTCTGATCTAGAATTCTGCTGGCCGTGGTAGTTTTCACTCTCGTCGTCGTCATCATCGTCGCTTCCATTGCCGAGGTCATCCTCCCAGTCGCCAAACTGTTCTTCCGCGTCGAAATAGGAGCTAGCTGCGCCATGAAGCTCGTGATTCTCTTCTGCATGTTCTTGTCTGTACTTTGCGGCCTCAGCCGCTGCCTTCTCCTCCTGTTGTATTTCCTCCTCCAGCAAAAGCGTCTGGGGTAGGTTCTGGATCAACGGGTAAATGGCGTTTGCTAGCGAGTAGTGCACCAGGGCCGTGAAGATGAGAAGAAGGACAACGAGCACGCCTGGACCGTTGGCTCCGTTCAGGAATAGCAGCCCAACGAGGCATATCTCAGCAAGATAAAGGCCCACTACCAGGTGGATGAGAGCTCGAGGGTAGAAAAGCCCATGGCTGTCATTGCTCGAGTCATAGACGTACAGAATGTTATAGCGCCAGATGATGTAGGTGACAGACATGCCGCAGGCTGCGAAAATGAGTACCAACGGCGCAATGCAGGCGTAGCAGAGGGCTGCAAGTAACGTCAGTCAGCATGGGGAGACCATATGCTATCGTGAGAATGATTGAAACCACTTACCAATGACGCCCAGGTTGGTGAAGATGGGGAAGTCTCGCCCCCATAGAGCAGGCTTCATTGTAAAGAAGATTCGGTGGTGCATACGCGGTAGCCGGGCAATCTTGCGAAGAAATACATGTCGAAAGAGGTCAAAAGGGTGAAGAAGGGACGTTCCCGCATTCATTAGACATTGGATAAGGATGTATGAAAGGTAGAAATTAGATGCTTTGGGGAGGTTGGCCGCGAGCACGTCTTTGATCGTGAGAGGCGCAAGAAGAATATCGAACAAGGCGCCCGACGCCGCCGAGGTGATTGTTGTGACGAGGAAGACCTGGACCACTTGGAAGGCGAAATATGCCGTCTGCGTGAAAAGCTCAGCCCTGGTATAAGACGGAACGCCAGCAGCGACAGCACAGTCTAGATTCAACAGGTTAGATATTCCGACGTTACAAGAAGAGAAGCTAGACTCACATCGAAGCAAGACGGGGACTATGGCCATGAACAATGTCAAGGCCATAGCAGGGACAAAGCCAGTGAGGAACCCCGTGATCGCGCCCGGCAATTTGCCCAACCAGCTTAGAAAGGGAAATATCTTGATCAAGGAATCTATATTGGAGATGGCCCCTACAATGACTGAGGGGATCGACCAGAAAATGATGGCAGCGATGACGAGGCCGAGGATCAAGAACCTACGCACGATGCGCTCGAGCCAATTCATCCTCAGCGAGCTCCAGACGATATCATCGGGGCGAATTCCCAGAATACGAGGGGCCATGTGCAGCGGCTGGTGGTGGGCAACGACTTGGTGCGCTGCCTGGGCGGCCTCTTGGGTCTCAAACTCGACGAAGACGGCCGGCCATGTAGTCGACTTGTCATCGCCGCCGCGCCGCAGCTGTTTCCGCAGCTTCGCTATCCGCTGGCTAAGCTCAATCAGCCGTACGCGGGTCCACCGGATTGTGTCAACTCGTCGCAGGTAATTTCCAATCGGACGATGGTGTGGGCGCATGTCCGCCCCCATGTACTGAGCAGCGACAGATCCACGAACATCAGGCAGGTTCGGGTTGAGCCCGTACGGGTGTACGTACATGGAGTCGTCCTCCTGTGAATCAATGGATTTAGCTTCTTCTCCTAGCGCTTTCTCATCATCCACGCTCTCCGGACCCAACGGCTGCAATATTGGTTCGCCTTCCAACTGAATTTCAGGCAGTGGAAGGGGTGTACTCGATTGGGGTCGACTCTCGGACACGACGGTCGAGCTGGGTCGTCTCGGAGACTGGTTCGGATCGCTCGTCTCGGCTTCCTCTACTAACGCAGGCGACTTCTCAAAGGTCTCAAGCTCGGGTGCACGCTTGCCCTTGCGGATCTGTTTATTTCGGATCTGGTTGGCTTTGCAGATCAGAGCTATCTCGGCTCGCTCGAGCCGGGTTGCCGTCTGCTCGCGTTCCTTGACCAGGTTGACAAGGCCTTTGGAGGTGCGGGGAATCCATACTCGGCGAACACCATCTCCGTAGAGTTTCCGTATACGAGCTTCGTCGAGGTATCGCTGGGGGACGCTGGTGAAGAGTACGGTTCGGGAGGAGAGTCGTTTCGAGTAGTAGGGTGACGAGAGGAAGGCTTGTCGAAGGTTGATGTAGTAGATGCACTCACGGGAGACGGTGAAGAGAACGAAGCCTGCCACAAGTTATTAGCCACTGGAAGACGGGGGCAAGGTATAGCGAATCTCACCGAAGAGGAGCCATGCTACAATGGCATGAGCATACAGCTTATTGGCGTTGACGACATTTCCAATCGTCAAGATCTCAAGCTCAGTCTGACCTCGGCCTCCGGTCGCATGTATAGGGAGCAGGATAGGCCAGGCAATGCAACAGCCGACAAGGCAGATGTTGCGCAAGACCTTTATGAACCGAAGAAAGAAGAAGCCGTCAAGGCAGCCTTGGTTGAGCAACGTCGAGTCCGGCGTCTTCCAAAAGGGCTTTATCCAGTCGAACCAGCCATTGGGAAGTGCGGATATGGTTGTTCTAGGATGAACGGCGTTAGCAAAGAGCGTCGGGTCGAAGGTATTGAGGTCGGGACGGACTCGGGATAACGTAGAACGCGAAAGGTTCGAGGGGCGTAGACTCGGGGCACTCGGCGTCGTAGGAAGATGAAGACGAGGAGGCAGACGGTCAGGTAAATGACAACGGGGATGAAGGTTGAACCGAGCTTAGAGAGGGACGCGCCCTGGCTGCCGTTGAGGGAGCTGAGGGTGCCTTGGTCGTTCGAGCCGTTTCGGTTGGAGCCGACGCGGGGGTCTTTGTCCTGGTCCTGTACAACAGCGAATCATCAGTTAACGGACCATCTCGGATAGACAGGGAGCATTCGAGTGACGTACGAGCCATGGAAGATTGATGGCTCTCTTCCACGACGCTGCTGCCAGGTCGCTGGACGCAGCAGCATCAAGCGTGGCTCCGACTACGGCAGCAGCGTCCAACACCGCCATCACGCGACGGTTTAGGGTTCAGGGTAGTTAGTAATAAAACTGGGACGTGGGAACTTTGTGTGTCGCTCCTGCGTTTGGGGCCAGTGTCAAACTCAGCCATGCCCAACCAGATGCAGTTGAATTGTACTCTGTTCATTCCTTCATTCGTTTACCACATTAGCACAAAGTCTTTCCCGGAGGAGGGGCGTTTGACAGATATGTAGGGTCCTGCTAGTTTCTCGTCTTTTCTCCTCTTCTCTCCTCGATCGGTGCTAGATGGGCGCACGTAAGATCACACAAGCTTTTCGCCCGCCAACGACGCTGTCTCAGCCTGCCTCAGCTGCCAATGTCTGACGGATTGGGCCAATCATCACCAAAAAGAGGCATTGATGGGTCAACGGCCAATGAGCTTAAGCCTGAAGTGGAAGCGCGCCCATGCAGCTATTCAGACGATGACACTTCCCCGGCCCCGCCTGAACTGGACTCAGGCCTTAGCGCTGATACGGTGGATGCTCGCTTGTCAAGGGGAAATGAGCCTCTCAGCTCTGATGGGATTTGCTTTTTGCCATGGCGCCGAGTCCGAGTCCTGTGAGGCGTCACCGTCGATCAACGTGTGTGTGATTTGCCCTGGTGTTGTGTCTGTGCTGCGCTATCGGCGATCGAAGCCCCACGCTCGGAGCGCCCAGGGCTCTGGTCGGTATCTGCATGTTTTACTGAAGCTGGAGAAAGCAGGTTTTATTCTACGGACCTATCTCGGGTGGCTGTGATGTGTCATTGGTCTGCTCAAGGCTCGCTCGATTCTCGGTGCTGCGTTTTTGCTGCGCTCCACCTCTTTGGAGACAATCTGACTAATTTATTCACCTCTCCCTGTGTAATTGGGATCTGCACCAATCGTCGTCCACGGCATCTGCGTGATAGCGTCGTATCTCTTACTAGTGGCTTGTGATGTGGTGATGAGTGAGGGAGCCAACAAACCACCTCGGTCCACGTCGATGCACCCGTTGACCCTTGCCCCATCTCTCATGCACGCCTCGACATGCATTGGGAAACGCTCAATGCAATTGCCCAGAGCATCACCCGATCGGTTATGGGTAGATTCCAGGCTGCAGACAATCCCCATGGCGATCATTTGTGCATGCCGTGCCCCAAATAGCAGGAGAGGGTCTGGGGAGGAGGTAGGTGTAGGGTAGCACCCGCAGCTCCTTCCGGCTCCAGCAGCCGATAAATTACACTGAGCATTGGCAGACGAGGCTGATCTCGCCACTGCTGCAGTCCAACGTACGAGATTCTGTTTCTAGTCGTGGGCGTGACTTGAAAATACCTTGAATACCTGCTTGATTCAATGATCCCTCC